ATCTTGGCTTTTTTTCTTTTTTTTTAATCTAGTGCTTTAAGGATTTTGCTTCGTCTGTTGGTTTGCGACGGATTTTTAAGCATAATTTCTAGCAGCATGAACTACTGAGCCAGTGACGGAACCTGCTTACCTCATAACTACCTCTGTGTGATTACACTGACTCCCCGCGGTGGACCAGGTCAGCAGGGGATCCCAGGTCAGTCACCCTGAGGGGACATGAGCCTACACAAGATGAGAGAAATAACTTTGGGGTAGGGGGCCCAAATAAGCAGTGTTGTAAAGTAATGAGACAATGGAAGTGCAGATGACCTCCTGGGGGTCTTAAATCATCTGATGGGCTTAAGTTTGCTTTCCTGAGTCATATAAACTGCAAGAATACATAAACTCCATTAACAGCTTGGTCCAGCCCCAAATTACTCTGGAAGATGTTAAACACAAAATGGTTCATTTCACCTTCGCAGATTTTTTTTCGCCACCTAAACCAGGTCCAAAGCACATTTCTCTCGTCACCAATCATTTTGTAATGTATAAAATTGCAATAGCAATGCTGTAAATGTCCTGGGTTCGGCTTGCGATATCAGTTATGATCAAGAGGATGTCTCCGTTTGGTTTAGATACTGGTTAAATCCCAGTAACACAGCAGGCATTTATCTCCACTTAGTGTTGTTTTAAGAGGCGACACTGGTCCCACGAGTTAAAAATCCATCTCTTTCAGGCCCCTCAAAGGGACTCCTTCATTTGGTCATCCAGTCAGTGAGTAATGCCACTTAAATGCCACCATGACAAAAGCTTGAGAGAAAAAAAAAAGAGGAGGGGTGTCAGGCCTCTATTGGGAGCCATCGGCAGCACTGTGTCTGGGGCAGAGGGCTTCATTTCATGGGGACTGCAAGGTTTAAAGTTGAAGATTACTTTGAAATCTGCATCCCCTACCATCAAACTCTCCCGCCATAGCCCACCCTCCCTCCTCCCTGCAGCTATCAACTCCCACTCCCCAAAAAAATGAAAAGCTGTCGCCACAGAGAAGGGGATGAGTTCAGAGTAGATCCTCTTTGATGACAGAGAAGGGTCCTTTTGTTCTCTAATCCCCACACAAACCCCCTCCCCCCCCAACCCAAACTTCCCTATAAGTCCAACTGGACGTGAAGGGGGCTTCATAAACAGTCAGAGGTTCAGAAGTTATTAGTTGACCTGTTTTACTTTAAAGGAATAGACCAAAACAGTCTAACACCTCTTGCGAACACACAGACGTACTACATTTGGTGTTGTCAGTCTTCTTGAAGTGGAAGAGAAGAAACATATCATGAAAGAAATACTCTGAGAAGTCACATGACACAGCTGTGTGGTTGTTATAGGTCGATCTCAAGGGAGCAGCCATTAGCCACTGTGTACAACTCCAAAAGAGAAAAGGGGTCACCGAGAACCAGACAGTTGCAGGATACATTTCCTCTCTTCCTGTGTCTTTGCTTTAAGTGTGCGTAAAGTGTGTCTTTGTGTCATTATCAGATTGGACACACATATTTCACAGAGGAGATGAAAGTGTTCCTTTTACTTGCAACATCTGCCCTCTGACGGTTTGCGTCCCATCATGACCTCAAAGACATCGCCTGAGGAGAGCGATTATCGCCCCTCCGTACGCACTTTGGCTCGTCATGTGACCGCATGTTTGTGGGGATGTGTGTGCCCAGGCCTGTGTCTGTGGGATGGAAAAGGGGTGATCTGTGTGTCTGTGTGCATGTATTTGTCACAATATGTCTGGAGAGACATATGGCCTAACAAGCATGCCAAAACTCTAAAGGCCAGCAAGAGGGAGTCAATGTCCAGGGGTCAAAGTGTCGAACACAGCTTACCTAGCCATTTCACTTTCATTGTGGTGCTCTTGAGTTGTCAAAGAAGACTTTCCACCTCCGTCTGTCTTCTGTCTTTATCTCACATACTGTTGGATCTTCTCTCTGTCAAGTTGAAACAAACAGCATCAAAGTATGCAATTCATAGTGAAAGAAGTGCACACTGACTCCCTCTAGTGCAGAAAAATGAGATTACACAAAAAAAGACAAGCCACAGGACTCATCTTTACAAAACTCAGATAAAATACTAATTTGATATAAAGATGAATTCAAGATTTTTGCTTTTTTGTTGTGGCCTCTACACTTCTGTCAGTCACCTTCTTCAGAACAAACCCATGTGTTTTCACGTGTCTCTTCCCAGGCACATGCACCGAAGTACATTTTATCAGGACCAGTGCATCACACATCCAAAACAAAGTACATCAGCTCAACAGCTATTTTGGCATTTGGTATCTTGGTCAAAAACACTGGTGAATACTAAAGGTAGTTTTAGCACCAGCCACCACTGCACCATCAGCTCTTTTTAGTAACAGCTTCTCTTTGTGTTGGTAAGTGAACAAGCAAACTCTGCATTAAATGGTGCATTGTGCTCAAGGACATCTTTCTTATAAATGGCCACCAGTTACTGCCACAGGCCAGGCTATATTGATTTTCAACAGCAGCACTATGACGAATCAATACATTGCCGAGGACAGCTCTGTCAGGGGTGGTGCCTGTCAGATGATCCCAGTATAGATTTTAAAAAAAAAAAAAAGAAAGAAAAAAACTTTTCTATCTCCTAGATTTTTTTAAAGAAGAATTTAAAACAAAGCCTTATTGTTTGATAGGGAGTAGTGGACAAGAAACAAGGATTCTCCTACCTAAACTTCGTCAGTAGCTGCAGATTCACTTCCGCACCAATCTTCCACGTCTGGATCACTCCTCTCTCCCTCATCTTCTTCACACATTGAAACAAGAAGACATAAATGGACTGGAAAATAAACAAGAGCAGAAGGGACAAGCAGAGGGAGAAGTACAAATAGCAACGGACCAAAGCCAAAAATTGTTGCGAGACAGATAGTTGGGAGGAAACCGTCACTTCAAACTTCAGAAAATGAAAAAAAAACTAGCAGCAGTGCAGACGGTTCTTTCATCCACTTCATCAAGCATGTTTGTTTACCAGAGTGCAAGAGTTTTTATGACAGGAAATGGTGGTAAAAAGCATCTTCATTATGCATAATTCAATGTTCTCCAATAAAATTGTCAGTTGCAGTTTGGTATTATTGCTCAAAAATAGGAAAACGTATTAGCAGCCACTGAAAGCAGAACTAAAACTGCACTTGTGAGGCCCCATGTCATTTTTGAAACCACGGTGGTGTAAAGTGAGGAACTTTATTGAAATACAATGGGAAAATAATGGCCAGCCTACACTTTTTACAAGCCCTTGTTATTGTATCCCAATGTACATGAATACGTATACCACATGTCTGAATGCCTTGACTACATTACGGACTATATTGGAACCTTACTGGTTCAAAAAGCTTCTTAACATGACATGTAAGCTAGTCTGCTGTGCTGGGTATTTGGGTGAATACGGGTGGAGATTATTGGTTTAGTTTGTGTGTTGTGTTTATTATTATCATCATTATTATTTTTGTCAATTTATTGTTTTTTTTAAAACATTTGATAAAGTGCTTTGTAACTTTACAAACATCCATATGAATTTATTTAAAAATGAAGACTGTGAACCTGTTTAAAACACAATGGTGGTGAAATTCTAACATGTGTTGTGTATCATATTAAAACTGATGCGATTATAGGTGGTTCACTCATTGCTAGACTACACATTACTCCACAAAAAGAGAATAGTTAGGTTGAAAAAGTCAACAGTTTCTGTGGGTGTGAATTGCTCTAACACAGTAACTCCTTTGTATCATGTTTTGGACAGGAGTCTGCACACACACAGACAGATATAGCCTCGTGCACATCATTGTGCAATTTGGGTAAACCAGGGTAAGATACCCCTCGAAGCCCTCCCACATAGTTCCCCTCATGACCACTACATATAGTCCTTTCATTTGTTTTTGCCTGGGATGCTGGTTAATCTTTAAATAGCTTTGAAATCATTTTGATTTTATTATTATTGTAGTAGTGTAGTATATATATATATATATATATATATATATATATATAGTATTTAATTATTATTATAGCATTACTGAATTTCCCTTCTGGGATAAATAAAGTATTTTTCATTTCATTTCATTTCACTGGAGTGAGTAATTTTTTTTTTTTAAAGTGGTTTTCAGGTATGTTGATGTAATATTTTGACATGCTTACGAAAATACATATAAATGTATTTTATTGTTCACAGGAGAGTCACATTGAGAGTTATCCAGAAGTTTAAAAAAAAAAAGTACTTTTTTGTAATATGTCAAAGTAGGTAGTTAAATGATAGTTATATAAAGGTAAAACCTTTGTTCCTAAATAACTGGCAGTAATAAAAACGTTTAAAAATCTGAAATTATTTGTGTTGTCTGATATAGGTTGCAGTTTCAGTGAGAGCAAAATTAACATTTCAAAATAAAGTCAATCCTAGCCGGAAGTACAAAGTGTTTTTTTAAGGAAAAACACAAAATGCCTCGTGAGGTAAAATTCCCCCCGGGGGGGCTTCTTCCCTCCGTAAGGGGGGCATCTTTTTTCCCTCCAAATTTGTTTACTTGTGCATACTGCTTGTGCACACACACTGACATTTAACAGTGACACATTTAAAAAGAAACCACATAGTTCCTAAGGGGGCGTCTTACCCTGCTTTACCCTGTTAGCAGTGCTAGCTACACTCTGCTGTGTCTCCTTCACACACTGGGGCGTCTCGCTCTTCCTGCGGTTAAGACTCAATAACAACTGAAACTGAAAACACAAACCAGACAGCTGTTCTGCAAAGTAAGCGAATCATGTGCGACTCTCGGTCAAACCTTGTGGTGACAGCAGGTCCACTGCTTTTTGACCCATTCAAATGAACCCACAGCCCGGCTGTAAACCGAGCCGCTCGCTGCTTCACATGTAACTGACGGTCCGGACAGCGATGACCGCGAGTAACCTCGCTGACGTCCCCGCTGCCCCAAGCACGCGCCACCTCCAGTTCTCCAATCGCTGGCGCAGAGGCGCTGCGACGTCATTGGATATCTTCCGGGCTGGTAGCACTGGCCCGGTGATGCTCAGATTTACAATTTCACTGAATTATATTTTTGTTACAGACTCACCGTTGTGATTTATAACCACACACACTGTGTTAAGAGATTGTGTCAATATCCCGTCAGAGCTCTGGTCACAAGGACAAAGACGCTCGAGCCGGTACCGCAGCGACTCAGACGTAGCGGTTGAGAAAAGAGGTGAGAATGTGTTGCTGTGTGAGCGCTTTGCAGATGTTGATGAGAGGAGCTGATTGTTAGCCACCGGCTCGCTCAGCAGCGCGGCTCGTTGCCTGTAATACGCCATACATTCGTGTACAATGCGATGTGTGTGCTCAAACTTTTATTTCCGAAGCGAAAATGTATAAGTGAGCTGGTTTTACTACATTAGCAGCCGGCTAACAGCAGCTGCAGTGGTTAGCTGAAGCTAATGCTAGCTTCCTTGCATTGCTAGCTGCTAGTGCGTCTTTGAGCTGTCCGCTAGCTGCGAATCTTGATGCTGCCACAGTAGCCTCCTACAGCTCCAGACATGGACACTGTGTTCTGGAAAAAAAATGTCGCGGTATGATCGATTAGGCTAAAAAACTATCTGCTTACCAGTTATACTGTGGTAGAATTGCACATGCCATCTGAAATCCTGTGCAGGTTATCATGTGTTGTGATCTGTTGTGTTGAGTTGTGATCGTATCTAACATTGATAGCGATTGTTTTTAAGATAAGGACACCAAAAAAAGCACTGATGCGACACTGTGGCCAGTGCACAGCTCGAGAAGGTGCATAATGAAGACAATAAACAGTCTAATGAATAATGTATAGCCATATGTACAGGTAGAGATCATATCTGACTGTGTCAATGAGAGGATGGAGAGATGCTCAAAATAGACACCAAAGTCAAATCATAGAGGTGAGAGTTGTAATGTAGCCTCTTCCTGTTGTTCTAAAGGTCATTTATATTCTGGCACTGTGGATAAAATCTTAAGTATTAAAATAAATCATTGCTAGATAAAAATCAGTATGGAATTTCTTGGGCTGAAAGCTGCAGGACTTTCTGAAACACTATATTCGTGTCCTGCGTGTCGGCTCAAATTGTTGCCCTTGAGTTATCCTGATAATTCAGGAGAGTGGTGTTAAATGCCAGACATTTTACTTTTCAAAGCCTAATGCATCTGATTGTGGGTGTGTTTGTTAAACACAGGTTTTATCACACTAAGTATGTGGGCCAACTGTCAGCTTAGTGGCATGACAAACCTGCATAGCTGGACTGGCATCACAGTCATGGTGGCATTTTAACCATCAGGTGTTGACTGACTTTATGGTAAGTCATGCTACTATGTGTTACATGTTGAAATATTAACCAGGAGAGGGTGTGCCTACCTTATTCAAACTAAAGTACACAATGACGGAGCCTGTAGCGTTAAACCAAACTGTAGTGAGCTGGTCTGTGAATTCCCTTCCCAAGAGCAGAACAATTGTGTCAGTTGGTTGTGACATGTGAGTTGCTGTGAAACAGGTGAGACACGTTTATCTCTCGGTGCATTGTCTTTTTATAAAAACGTGATATCAAAGGCGCTGTGGTTTTGGGGTGGATCTGACTGAGTGAGGTGACGATTTGTATTTTCCTTGTATTTTTTTTTTTAAATGACAGGTTTTTGTTCTGAGGTTAGACGTCATGTGACTTTCATTCAAGTATCCAGAAGAGGAAGTTAGAGAACTGGCATAAACACACACATGGACACATTAACACATGCTGTTTTTAATTTATAGTAAACCCCATTTAGTGAGTGACAGATATTTATTGTTGCGTAGACCAGGGCAGAACAACTTGCAAAAAACAAACCCCCCCAAAAAATCTGATTGCCATTCTTTTGACAAATTTTACAATTGTAGTATGAGTCACAGTTTTTGTGGTAAAGGTATTTTTTGCACTTCTTTTCCTCTGAAAAAAAATCTCTAAAAATGATGATGGGATTTTTGGTACAGCGTGTACCCAACAAGCGTGTCTCGAAGGATCTGGAGAAAATAATTTGTAGGCCAGCGTCTCACTGTAGTGCCGTAATTGATTTATAATAGTGGCACATTTTTTTTCTTTATCAAAAAAAAAAATGCGATCTAGATATTGCATTTGGTCATATTGCAATTTTGATAATATTTCAATCAGGTGTTCGCTCCTGTTCTGCAGTGTAGCGTCGCATTGACCAGAGTGTGGTGCAGTGCAGGTGACAAGCAGTGAGGACTAACAATCTAACTGAAGTTAAACCCACGTCTTGCTTTCTGTTTTTCTGTAGCTTGTGTTTGCACATAGCCAGAAGCAGTCCACCTCAGTCAGCAGTCAGTGTTAGATTCTTGTCAGTGATGTTACACCAGGTTGTTAGGGTGTGCTAACCTGTCACGTGACCTCTAGGCCTCTCCTTCTAAGCTGCAAAATGAGTCACTGCCACTACTTCTAGCGTGGTCAGGCTCAGCGGCTGCAGGGCCGCACTGCCAATTACACTGGGGCCTTAAGCATACACTACAAATAGCTGAGCTCTCAGGGAGACAGTCAGAGTTGATCCAAAGGTTTTTGTAGCATAGCCAAACAACTTCTAGCAGTAACAAGTACAGCACACGATATAATCCTGTTGCAAACTAGTGGTAGAGCACAGAGAAGGTGAATAGTTCCAGAAAATTGTAGACACACTGTCCTCTGGGTTCAATTCAACCACTGCTTGTTTCAGAATGTTGACGGCTGTCCTTTTCAGCAGAGCTTGTTTATCCTGGCGGCAGCTCACTATTATTTCCGTCATCAAATTATCTGACGAATATTTCTTGACAAAATATTTCAAGTGGATAAATGGCTGGGTCTGAATTGTGTCCAGACCACTAAGTGATGGCTTCACATTCGGTATGAGGAACAACCAAAATATACAATTGAATGTTAGTTTACAAATTTGCAGGTGCCACTATAGCTCACCTGGTTGAGCTGGTGTCCCCGATGTGGAGGTCATGAGTTTGAATCCCGCTCATAGCCCTTTTCCACAGGTCCTTCCCCCATTCTTCTCCCCCACTTTCCTGTCTCTCCCTCTCACTGCAGTTGCACTATCAAATAAAGGCCAAAAAAATGACTTTAGTAAAAAAAATTTGATGAATGGAGTAAATCAGCAAATCCTAATATATGAGCGGAAGTTCAGTTTCTATCAACTAAACAATTAATAAAGTATACAGGCTCTGTTATTCAAACTGGATTATGATCAGTTTCATCACATCACGCTTCCGCTGTGAGGTCATCGTCTATGCAGCAGGGCCAGCGGATCTGGTGGGAGACAGAGTGCTGACTGAGAGCCATCCTAAGAATAGGCAGAGTTGGTCTTCATGCAAGCAAGGATTCGTTTACCAAGAGGCTGTCACTCGCATTCACAGCAGCTTGAGTTTTCAAAATGTGCTGATGCACCTTTATTCCAGACTGTGCTTCTAAAATTTCATGTTGTGTCTTTATCTTGCAGGTCCATTTGATTTGCTGCAAAAAAAGAAACCTCCGCCTGCAACCTTCACCTCCAGCAGCGGGCCAAAAACACGTACAGAGCAGAGGCGAGTACAGCGTGTCTTTGCGCTTCAGGTTCGATTCGGCACTCACTTCATCGTCAAAGATGAAGTTGAAGGAGGATATGAACCCCCTGCTGCTGCAGGTTTTCCGCTCCGTGGTCTGGGTCTACTCCGTCATAACCTTTATACCCTGGTACTTCTTCTCGGGTGCTGGCACCAATTTGGAACGAGCCCGCCGGATCAAGGCACGCTCGATTAGCGGAAACCCAGCAGGGCCTTACAGAGCCATCAACAGCCAAGAGAGGCTGGTAGCGTGGCTGCACCCCGGGGTGGACACCGTGGACAAAATGTTTGACTTCGCTGCAAAGAGATTTCCACAGAGGGACTGTCTGGGGACCAGGGAGGTGCTCAGCGAGGAGGACGAGCTCCAGCCAAACGGCAAGGTCTTCAAAAAGGTGAGAGACACAGACAGCCATTGTTCTTTCCTCACCTGCTACACTTGTGTCTTGTTTCATTATTATTTTTAAATGTTTGGTGTGTCAAGAGGCAACAGGCTTCTTATCTCATTTAGATTTAGGAATTTAGTGTTGGGTGAATGTGCAGAATTGCAGAAGTTAGACTGTTTCTCAGAATGCAGTCTGGCGCTGTGCTCAGTGTGTGGGATGTAGGTGGAAGAGCAGGAGTGTCATTGGTCTCACAGCTGAATTAACACCTGCATAGTCACAAAAGCCCTGTAGATGGCACTAACTGACTGCATTTAAATGACGAGGCTGCACGACTGGTACCAACAGGAGGCACGTAAAGTCAAGTCTGCAACCTCTTCCGTGGGTTCCATGTTGCTTTTTTATTGTTTCTTGTAATGCAAAGCAGCGCACATATTCATCCCATCTACATGTGGTTGTACAAAAGAATAAAAATCACACCATCAACTACACCTGCTCTTTGCTTTGAAGCAGGCCTGCCCAATATGAGCACTATTATCATGTTCTTTGGTGTAGCATGTAGGACAGAATCTTGAACTTGTACCTCTGCGTGTCACATTTAGGTAATTCTAGGGAAATATAACTGGCTGTCATACGAGGACGCCTACCACGCAGCAAAGTGCTTTGGTAGCGGTCTGGCAGCTCTCAGCCAGAAGCCTCAGTGCAACATCGCCATCGTCTGCGAGACCAGAGCCGAGTGGATTCTGGCAGCACAGGCTTGCTTCATGTACAATTTCCCACGTGAGTGACTCAAACATTCATATTCATGAAATCTTCGGCCTTCAGTTAAACATTTCAGATGACTGACTAAACCTGACTTGAATTCGACAGTGGTGACCCTGTACGCCACTCTCGGGCCCATGGCCATCGCTCACGGCCTGAACGAGACCGAAGTCACGCACATCATCACGAGCAAAGACCTGCTTCAGAGCCGTCTCAAGGTACCCGTCCGCTGTTGACACGCGTCTCCGTTGTGTGCACTTTGCTAAACAAACTCGACAATGACTGGCTGTTAATTGTGTGTAACATTAGAGCCTAATAAGAAGCGCAGTTCAATTTGCTTAATTAGTTTTTCCCCCTCTCACTCTCCCGCTTCCGTTCTCCCTCCCACTTACATCCTACTCCGCGTCCCAGGCCATTCTGTGTGACGTTCCGAGGCTGCGGTATGTCATCGTAGTGGACAGCAAACCCACGAGCTGGCCAGACGTCCCCAGAGGCATCATGGTCTACAGCATGGACGCTGTGAAGGAGATGGGATCCAAGCCTGACAATAGTGAGTACTTGTGCAATGTGATTAAAAAGGTTTCTAATTTTGTCAGGGAAATGGAAGTACATTGATGGGAGGCTTAATACAAAGCCAACACCCTAATGTGTAATTACAGTGATGTGCTGAGTGTGACAGCGAGTCAGCAAGAGGTCAGATCATCACTTGCCAAACGCTACAATACTGTTATTGTGTTGGCCACATTTTTTAGGACTTTGTTGGTCTTCCAGAATGACTTTGTTTATACTTGTCCTCTTATTTGACAAAGAAAACAAACATGGAATATTCAGAAATATTTAAATAGCGCACATGTGGAATGTTAACTTAAAAATCTAAAATGATTGTAGCCAATCAGATAAAAAAAAACAAGAATACAAGTTTGCAGTAATTTAAGCCAATGAAACTAATTAAAAGATGCCCAATCAATTCTTTAAGTGAGCGTATCTAGTAATCATATACTTATGTCGCTAACAAAATCAGCGTTCCCCTCCAAAATTATTTCTAAAATTGTACGATAACATGCTAAGGGGGAAAACTCATATTACGTGAAAGAAAAATGAAAAAGAGAGTTTTACAATAACTGCGGAGAAGTAGGAGCACATTTGTGAAATCCAGTGGGTCGCGACTGATTCGAATATCTGGCGTGAATTCTGGAAAAATATTATTTTTTCATTACACCAGCCCAGAAAAGATACCGGGGAACTGGAGATACCTGTTGGAGGTGTGGCATCGAAGGAGCAAACCATTTCCATGTTTTTTTTGGAACTGTCAAATTATTCAAAAGTATTGGGTTGGGATCCATCAGCATGTACAAAATGTGTTCTCAGTTGTTTTCCTCCTTTCATTTAAAACTCTTGGTGACACAATACTGAATGACTTTCGCAATAGAGACAAGAAACGACTTCTTTTAGCAGCAAGTAAAAGGGCCATCACCAGAAATTGGCTCAATCCTGAGCAACCAAGAAATGAGAACTGGATCAACATTATGCAAGAAATCTACAAAATGGGAAAAAGTGTCTTTTTGACTTCAACTGCAAATGGACTAATTTTATAAAACTTGGTTAAAATGGACAGAATATGTCAAGCCTGTAAGATCCCACTTTATGTAAAGCTGCCATTCAAATAATGATGGCTGCTGCAGATGATGATGCGATGTTACAAAGGTACCCCCCAACTGTTCCTGTTCTTAGTTTTATTTCTGAAAAAATAAAAAAAAATAAAAAATTAAAATTCCTTTATAAAAAACAAAATTTAAAAAAAAAAAGCTTTCTATAAACCTGCGTACAGCTGGAACCCTCTGAGCTTTTCTTGTATTTTTCGGCACCTCATTCTAAAAGATGTCACAGAAAATTAAGCAGTAATAGTTTTGATAATTGACTGATCAATAATTAGCAAGCGATATTGCCAGATATTAGAAGGTTTCAGCTTTTCAGGTGTAAGGACTTGCTGCTGTATGTTTTATATTGCTAAATTTATGAACAGTTGCTGGTCTTCACTATTATCAGACATTTTATAGATCAAGCCGTCATTTTCTTAAACGATTAATAGATGATTTGATAAGAAAAGTAGCTGCAGCAGTACAAAAACACCTTCATAGTATGCAGTTGTTATTATGATACAGTTATTTTATCGTTAATCAATTAATTCTTCATACTAAGTCAGTTATTGCTACTACTAATAATGCTGGCGTGTGGTCCATTTCCCCTCTTAACCGTCAGCCCTCCGCTCTCCCGTCTCTACAGTTGCAGTCGACCGCAGACATCCAGAGCCTTCAGACATCGCAGTCATCATGTACACCAGCGGCTCCACAGGCATCCCCAAGGGTGTCATGATCTCCCATGGCAACCTCATTGCCGGCATCACAGGCATGGCCGAGCGAATCCCTAACCTCAAGTACGGACAGAGTCACTGCTGTTTCTCTGACACTTCCTCTGATTGTTGTTATGTTCTGATATTCTTTCTTTTTTTTTTTCTCCCCAATGTGTGATGATTCACCAACCGTTGTTTTTACAAACTCATGAACCAGTTTTGTGTCCTTGTACATGAGTAATTCTTCTTGAGTATCTTTTGGAAATTAATTAGAATTTTTTTTTTGTGCTGGCAGTGAGACAGATACCTACATTGGCTACCTGCCGTTGGCCCACGTTTTAGAGCTCAGCGCAGAACTGGTGTGCATCTCTCACGGCTGTCGCATCGGCTACTCCTCTCCTCAGACTCTAGCAGATCAGGTCGGTATATTAGTGACGTCCTGCGAAAGGTCTTCTGACTCTGCACTGCCTCCGTGTTAAATTCATAACGTGTCCAAGATTTATATGATCACTGTGTAATCAAGCACCCATCTACACCTACAGGCTTAAATCTGTGGATCACTGAGAACTGAGCATTTGTCTTGTTCCATTTTCAGTCCACCAAGATAAAGAAGGGCAGCAAAGGAGACACCAGTGTGCTGAAGCCTACTCTCATGGCTGCTGTGCCGGTACGTCTGTTTGGCAAACTTATCACTGGTTTTATTGCTTTTATGGCCTGATAGTTGACATCACAATACATTACTTATCATCTAAGCCCTTGTAAAATGTACAATAACAGTCGGTGTTAACTTGCTCTGCTTGGCGCGTGTAGGAGATCATGGATCGAATCTACAAGAATGTAATGACCAAAGTGGAGGAAATGAGCAAACTGCAGAAGACGCTCTTTGTGCTGGCCTACAACTACAAGATGGAACAGATCTCCAAGGGCTACGGCACGCCTCTCTGTGACAGGTAGCACACACTGCACATACCTGTATACACGAACCCTGAGGAAAGCCCCTCCAGCTGACATACGCTCGCTCCGTTACACACCAGCAAACATTAACCTCTGTTCCTACTTGGCTAATCATAACATAGCACAAATCCTTCATTAACCCTTGCCAACAGCAAAGCCACTACAGCAGTGAATTATTCTCCAGCGTGTGTGAATCATTGGGTTTTATCGACGACGGTGTCCGCGCAGAACATTCTTCAGTATGACTCAATATCTGTGCTGATTAATTGCTAACTTTCTAAAAGTCAGAATGTTTTTTTGTTTTCTAGTAGCTGCTGTCATCGGAGTCTCCTCCACCTCTTAAGTTCATCACCACCATGCTGTGTATTCTTGTCCTTTTCCAGCTTGGTGTTCCAACGGGTGCGTGCTCTCTTGGGAGGGAACACACGGGTGCTGCTTTCAGGCGGCGCTCCACTCTCGGCTGCCACGCAGCGGTTCATGAACATCTGTCTGTGCTGCCCCGTGGGGCAGGGATACGGCCTGACGGAGACCTGTGGAGCTGGAACCATCAGTGAGGGTGAGAAGGGAGGACTTAGATCAGCTGTAATGATCCACAAGGGAAATTGTTTTATCGCTGTAACAAAGCGCACAACATAAATAATTATGGAAGAATATACAAAAAAGGGTGCAGCTACAGCTCACCTTGTTGAGCTGGCGTCCTATGTTGAGGGGCTATAATCCCCGACGCAGAGGTCATGAGTTCGAGTCCCGCTCATGGCCCTTTGCTGCAGGTCTTTCCTGCATTCTTCTCCCCAACTTTCCTGTGTCTCTCTTGACTGTACTATCAATTAAAGGCAAAAAAAAGAATATACACAAAAAAAAGCAGCAGGGAACAAAAAAAAGAATACAATACAAAACTTTCACTTTTTTTGTTTTTTTCAAGTAAACAATGACAATCAGAAGATAGAAAATAAATATGCAGAAATGAACAGTATATACATGTCCATACACACTATAAACACTAAAGAAAATATGAGTGGAGGAGCTATCTGACACAGAGGGGTGAGCTGTTATACAAATGGATGTATAATGAACGGTATAATTGAAGTTCTGCAGGGGAGAAAGGCAGAAAATATGAAAGAGTTAGGAGAGGAACAATGAGAAAAGACCGTATGATAGGGCGGCGCTATAGCTCACCTGGTTGAGCTGGTGTCCCATGTACAGGGGCTATAGTCCTGATGTGGAGGTCATGAGTTCGAATCCTGCTCATGGCCCTTTTCCTCAGGTCCTTCCCCCATTCTTCTCCCCCGTCTCTCTCTCAACTGCACTCTCAAATAAAGGCAAAAAAATAACTTTAATAAAAAAAAAGAAAAGACAGCATGGTAAAAGTAATTCTGCGAAATTCAATATGCTAAGTCTTTTGCTGGTGTTTTCAGTTTGGGACTACAGCACAGGACGAGTTGGTGCTCCACTGGTTTGCTCAGAGATCACACTGAAGGACTGGGAGGAGGGTGAGTATTACAGCAGCAAATCCATCCTTAAAGCACCCAGATATTAATGTTTTCTCTCTAATCAACACGTTCTGTGCTTCCCCTCCCCCAGGCGGTTACTACAGCACAGACAAGCCCAACCCACGGGGCGAGATTCTGATCGGCGGGCCCAACGTGACCATGGGCTACTACAAAAACGAGGGCAAGAATCACGAGGGCTTCTTCGTGGATGAGAAAGGCCAGAGGTGGTTCTGCACCGGAGACATCGGAGAATTCCACCATGACGGATGCCTTAAGATTATCGGTAGGAAATCAGCAAACGATAGAGCGTGTGAGGCAGGTGTTGGAATATATTAGCATCGTAATATGTGCTGTCTCTCTTTCTCGCTAGATCGCAAGAAAGACCTGGTGAAGCTGCAGGCAGGAGAATATGTCTCCCTAGGAAAAGTGGAGGCTGTTCTGAAGAACTGCCCATTCATCGACAATATCTGTGCCTATGCCAACAGGTAGAATCTCCTTTTTTTTTTTATCTCATTGCCCTGGCAGAATATATTGATAAAAACTCTTTAATGCAGACTCAACCAGGTGCAAACATTGCAGATATAATTTTCTTCTTCTTCTTCTTCGTAACTTGTTTTTTCAGTGACCAATCATACGTGATCGGCTTTGTGGTGCCGAACCACAAGCAGCTAATGGCACTGGCAGAGCAGAGGCAAGTGACAGGCACGTGGGAAGAGATCTGCAACAACTCCCAGATGGAGAAAGAGGTCCTCCGCATCATTACCGAGGCTGCCATTTCAGGTAGGGGCAAAGTTCTTAATAACCAAACTGAAGTGGGACAACTGGTGATACTCTCTGTCAAAGTAATTAGTTCAGATTTGCTGCCATGTCGTCCCCAGCCGTCGCGCCAGACGTTGCACAAGTATCACACCGTGTCGTATCCGCCAGGCTGGCTTGTGACTCTGCTCTCTCGCTCTCTCTCGCACGCAGCAAAACTGGAGCGGTTCGAGATCCCCAAGAAGATCCGACTGAGCGCCGAGCCGTGGACGCCAGAGACCGGCCTGGTCACCGACGCGTTCAAACTGAAGCGCAAGGAGCTCAAAACGCACTACCAAGAAGACATTGAGAGAATGTACGGCGGGAAATAACACACAGACACACTCCAAACAAGCACATTGAGCACACACACTCGCACACATACACAAGGAGCTCAAAACGCCACGACCAGGACTACTTGGAGAGGAGTTCTACTTTAGTTACAGGTAACACACACACACACACACACACTCACACATGCATTGTTACACAAAGAGACCCATGCGCCTCCTCCACAGCTTCCCTGCGACCAGCTTCGATCAAAGCAGGGGGGAGGAGGAGGGGGGGAAGGGAGGGGGGGGAAGGAAAACTCCTGAATGCAGCTTAAACGCTCTCTGTCAAGACCAAGAAGCAGAAAGGTCCCCTCACAAGACAGCTGAGCCAGCCGGGCGACGCACGGCGCGACGCACTGGCCCACTCCTCTTTGATGGATTTAGCCCTTTGAGTTGCTATGACTACCGAGGCGGCACAAGGAAGTCGGACCTTTTGCATGACTCGAAGTGAAACAAATGTCAGGCTTCATGACGGCGCGTCCTCCTCTGTTGCTTTTTCTCCCTCCTCCGCTGGTCTCCGGAGCCTTCCACCAGTACAGCACGGTTGCTCGGACATGTTTGGCAGATACCTGGCAGGGACACGGGGTAGCATGAGCCTGACAGAGGTGATCCCTGAGTAACATTCAGGTTGGAAATCTTTGCAGGGATCTCTGATATCTTTTAATGATTTGTGTATCTGTTATTGCTACTTCATGTTTGGTTTGTCAGCTTTTGAAACCCATTTGATGCGTGTTGTGTTTTTTTTCTGTGTGAGGAGTCGGTGTTGCGAAGCCATGAGAGATTGAGCATTACGATGTTTATAGCTACGTTTTTTTTTTCTTACGGTTATTTTATTATGGCGGTGTTGTTCACAAGGGGGTCATTTCTCTTTGGGGTTTTTTTTTTATTATTTCCATTTTGTTGTTGCTAATTGTACTTTCATGAGCTTTGTTTACATGCTTTTTTAACATTTTTTTAAACTCGTTTTCCTCTAATTATTCGCCTGTGTCCCACAAACTTTGTACATTTGAGTATGTGTTTACTGACTATGACAAGCAATTAAGTCTTCAGCCCTTTCTGCTCCCGGCCTTTGCGGCAGAGTCAGTGGTAAACGGCGTCCACTGGGGGTGTTTTTTTTGGGGGGGTTATTTCGTCGGTTCGTTGACGTACGCTAGCCCTGCCGCGTCTGCCACATATTCCTCCAATCATGACCAATGCACCGTATGGATGTCTCCAAGGGAACTCAGCTTACTGTAGAGAAGTAGTTACGAAACTTTCATCGATTGCTGTCCCAGTTCTTTTTTTTTTTTTGGTGCAACCGTACATGTTAACCTTTCTACTCTAGGTCTAGTTACTTTTATCTTCTTTTGTTCTTTTTTTTTACTTACAAATATGAAATACAAAATGAATGTGCAATATTTATACTCAAGTATGTAAGAAGGAAAAACGCACAGACAACAGCCCTTCCATTAATGTTAGACCTCCACTTCAGTGCAGATCGGAAGGCCTGTAGGAGACAAAATCATAGGCATAATAATAATAATCAATACGGTAGAGAGACACTGATAGGGAAGTTAGATGTAGCCCGTTTTGAACGTACTGTGCTTTAAAAAAAAAAGGTTTTTTTTTAATAAGACTGTAAAGTGAAAATGTAATATTTGGCATTGTAGAAATTGCATGACGATAAGAGTGCGACTGTACCAAAGCACCTGAACATAAGAGAGAATTGCACTCCACCTGGAGAAGCTCTTTACGGATACACTCCATGTAGTCGTGAGTATATAGAATAAGCTCAGTTCACTTCAGAGTAACATTTCTGTATCTTCAGATCGGTTTTATGTGTACGATACTGTATGTGCAATGTATATAAAAGGGTCTACAGTACTACAGGTCACCTGCCGTTTATTAGAAGTTGCGTAAAATGTACATTAGGTTTTCAGACGGGTGGCGATGTTCTCCGAGGGACTTTCTTGCTTCAGTATTTCTTTCTTCTCTTTAGGTTTAGGGACAGAAGATTACACGGTGTTTGGTCAGCGCTCCTCTATAAGGTCGATATCTTTGTTGCAGCCGCCTTTTTCTGAATGCAAAACCCTGCTTTGCTCACAGCCAAGACCGAGCAGCGATAACTACAGTCAGGTACTCTAACGACGTCCCTTATCAGATGCCTACTAGCTACATACAGGAGGGTTGTTTGTCCGTACCATCGTGACAAAGCAGAAGCTCATTCCTCCCTGTTTTTTCTACAAACATTTTTCTCTCCTGACATTTCAGTGAAAAGTCAGTAGCTTACTGTTGCTGTTTGCTGCTTTTTTTTCTCTGCCTGGCTAGGGGCGACTAGTTGCCTTTTTGTTCTTCCCCGACACACATGAACTGTCTTCAGGGGGGTCTTAAGAATGTGAAGCACTCCTCCACGTTCCGTCGATGGCACACGCGTCCCGCCAACAGAACTTGACGACAAGGCAAAGACGGCGGGGTGATGCAAAGATGAATTTCACCGCTCTCTGTTGTGTCCACTTGCTTTGTAAATAAGTTGTCTGGGAGGGGAGGAGAGGGGGGCTCGATGATCAAAGTTCAGCAAAACTACCAATAAGTACAGGTGTACAGCCTCCTGTTCATATATTTAATAATCTCTTCTTATTGGCCAGTTTTGGTGGAGGGCGGGGGGGGGGGAGGTGTTCTTGTTTTGTGTGGTTTAAGTGGCCCTGCAAACTGAGCTACTGCAAGTGTCTCCTTCCTTTTTATTTATTTGTGATTTGGCCTTGGAAAAATTATGTAATGAAATAAACGAGTTTGTGTTGTAATTACCGTTGTCCGTCTCGTGCTTGGGAAGGTGAACACCTGAGTGGCGTCTGTGAGGCGTGACGTGTGACTGCTAATCAGCAGCTTGATTAGAATCATCCCTAAAACCAAGAGTTTCTATGGCAACGAAGGCCAGTGTCTGTCTGTGTGTGTGTTTGAGTGTATGTGGTTTGTGAAAGGCTGTGTGGCGCTTCGACGCAAACAGAACATGCAGTTCTGGGAGTCAACCTTCACTCAAGGCTCATAAACAAAGGATTTTTTTTTTTTCTCTCTCTCTCTCTCCAGGCACTCAAAGGCTATTTTTCACAAGATGTTGAATCACAGACCTGTGAAATCATTAATTAGGGGAAGAAGCTTGTGCTCGTGGTGCATGGAAACCTGCCTGCTGCTAGGATTTGTACACAAAAAAGCCTGGATACAATGATGATATCAATACTAGTCTGTTTCCTTAAGTGATTAATCCATTGATTATTTTGTTGGTCATAGCCCATAAAATGCTAGAAAATAGTGAAAAATAATCACTTTTAGCCTAAGCTGACACTTTATATCACACCAATTCTCCAAAATCTACACATAAACCCAAAAGTGCACAAGCAAATATTCACCATGGATTTATTTTTTTCTTGCATTTCTGCTTTTAAAAACCACTACAGTCGTCCTCAGATGTATTCATAGCCTCCCATTAAAGAAGGAAGATAACAGGTGTCACTGAAATAAGCTGAAATTGACAAAATAATAATAAAAAATTATAAAATTTCACGAAAATCATGGCATTGCTTTTGAATTGTGGTTCAACAGAAATATTAAAAAATCAAGCATGATGGGACCCATAAACTAATATTTAGTTGAACAACCCTTTGAGCCAATCACTGCAATCAGGTGTTTTCTGTAACTCTCCATCAGACTTCTGCACTTGTTGACAGGTATTTTGACCCACTGCTCATCAGTAAAGTGCTCTCATTTGTCTAGGACAGTTTTTTTTATTATTATTATTCTTTTCAACCACAATTCAAAAGCAATGTCTTATTTCACTAAATTATAATTTAGCATTTTTTTATTTATTACTACTTTTTTCAGCTTCTAGTTATTTGAGTGACTGTTGTGAATTTTCTTTAATGGACGGATGTGATCTGAGGACGACTGTATATTAATGTGATAATTAGCTACTGAGTTAAATGTTCAGCTCTAGTAAGTCTGAGTTCAGTTTGGATTTTCAAGTTAAACTTTGCACCGACAGATTCTGTAACAGGATGCACGACACACATGGAGTTATAATACACCCTAGAATGAACGAACCGGAACTGAGCCTTTTAACGTATTGGAAAACCGTTTTTTGTTTTTTTTTTCCACTTTGATGCATTCTCCCTCTGCTGCTTTCTGCATTTCGTTTAAAATATAACAGTAACTACAAGACCGCAGGGAGTCGAGCAGTTCTTCTAACTCCTCCTCTCTTCTATTCCCTCCGTCGTGCCCTATGGGACGAGGGAGTGAGTCAGAGGCATAATGCTCCCTTCATTAGCCCACTGATTCTGACGCAAACACACACACACATTCATATAAGAGTGGCTCTACACCACAAAGACAACAACAACAGCAGCAGGAAACAGTGAAGGACATCTTCCATATTGTATGAATGTGGTTTGTGTGTTTCTTGTCTTTGCTCTCTGACACTTTATTCCAACTTTTTTTTTTTTTTGATTCTCCCACTCTCTCTCTCTCTCCCTCCTCTCTCGCTCTGCTCCCTCTTCCTGTCTACTTATGACTCAGAAGTGCGCAAAAAAAAATAAAAAAATAAAAAAAAAACTTTTATCTGCTTCAGGAGCACACTCCGCTGTGAGCCAATAAGCCATACTGGAGTTTACCCAAGGATGAGCGGAGCTGAACCTTAGCTTCCTCATAACACCGGAGAGGTGGGTGGTGTCTGGAAATAAAAAAAAAAAAGGATAATTACATCTGGGGCTGAAAGAAAGGTGGTACAGGGAGGACGGGGACTTAGATATCACCCTGGATTGTTGAGCTGATATGTTAGACACACTGAGGTACACCAGGGGTTGGCTGGATTACGGTTATTAACTGTTGAGCTGCACAGGAAGTAGTTTTTTTTTTATTAAAGCATGTATAATTTGCCCCTTCAACCTTTGGAACCTAATCATTATATTGCAAAAATAAAGCTCAGTTTAAATGAAAATTCTCAGGTTTCTGAAGAATTTTTCTTTATAAATGCAGTAAAAACCTTTTCATTTGATGCCCTCATGTTGGATTTCAGGACTATTTTTAGTGTCAGATGGCAGCAATTAAATGCTAGAAGTGTTTTTTTGACTTTGAAGCTACTTAGGGGTCAGTTTAAGGGAAGTGACATTTTTTCTAATTGGAAAGTTAATGAAAGTGATGCTCCACTTTTTGGTTGACTGTGTCTCTCCTATCGTGCTCACTCCTGCTGGTTTTGTTTTCCTTTTTTTTCAGGTTTGTAATGCGTCAAGCCGACCTTTGGCTTTGCGCCTGGTAACTCTGGCTGCACTGCGCCGCCCAACTGGGCCCTGGCTCAGGTGGGGTCATGGTGATGCGATGGGGGCCAAAGCAAAGAGAGAGAGAGAAAAGAAATGTGTGAGGTCTGGTAATGAGCTTGAGCAGAGGAGCGAGGCAAAGAGATAGAGGGAGGGAGGGAGGGAGGGAGGGGAGAGGCAACTGATACGTCTGGGCGATGACTCACCGATGCTGGGTATTTATAGCATCAGGAGGGAGGGAGGGAGGGTTTGGGGGTGGAGGAGCGATGGGGGCAAGCAGTTTGGGAGGCGGCCAGGACAGCAGCAGCAGCAGCAGCATCACCACCATCATCATCATCATCATCGCTACGCCGACAGGGAGTGGTGGAGGGGAGAGACCGCAGAGATAAAGCAAAGCAGAGGAAGAGAGGGATGGTGGGAGGGACGAGAGCAGAGAAGGGAGGTTGAAAATCAAGCAAAGTGGAGGAAGAGGAGGAGGAGGGGGGGGTATGATGAATGAGACTGAACCCAGGAAAAGATGAGAGGACTGTGAAGAAAAGAAGGGGAGACCAAAATAGAAAGCTTATTTAAAATTCCCACCCTAAAAAAAAAAAAAAGAAAGAAATAGCCGGTCTTGCCACACAGCAGGGAAGGACATACGCCAGGCTACACGTGGCGGAGCGAGAATACATATTAGGTTTTGAATAGAATATCTGCATTAGTCTGTCTCTGGTATAATCCATCCATATTTACTTTCCTGCAGCCTCACATTCAGTCTGCAAAAGGGAGGACGGAGGGGGGGAAGGTGGCAACACTTTAATGAACATAAGAAAAAAATCACCACTGTTGCCTAGACACTGTACATTTCTGGAGATCCAAACAGACAAACAGCCAATTAGGGAGGCAAAAAAGAGCAAACTATCTCTGCAACACACACAAAAAAAAAGTGCATTAAAAGCTGCTGGTATATTCAATTGGCTGTTTGTGTGATGGCATCATTAAACGTGACTAAACTTTCCCCAGGTTTGACTAACATGTGATGGCGCTCGCTTTTAGTTCTTCGTTTCTGCTCGCTTACATTGGCAGGACTTCTTCATCAATAAACACCTCCTGCCTCGGCCCTCTGGGTGACGTCAGCCGGTGCGTCACGCTTGCACCCTGTACCGTAGACATGAATATAATCGGCACACGTGTGCACTTACACACACACACACACACCGTCAGTTTGAGAAGGGATGATTCAGAACGCTCACAGTCATTAATGCACACAAGGAGCAGGGGGATGAAAGGTAATATTAAGTGAAAAGAGCAAAATTGAGGGAGACAGGTTAGAGGGAAGCAGTGCAGGAAAAGAGATGAAAAAGAGTTCAGAAGAGGCAAAAAAAAAATAAAAATAGTGAGACAAATTGGGAGAATGGTTCCTGAAGTGATGGAAGGGAACAAGATCCAGGTTTGTGACGCAGCCAGGTAGATGTGACTAAAATAGTGTCAGTGTCAGAAAGTAGAAACGAGCTCTGGAGTGCAGCTCAAGCGCATTGTTCTCTGGTGGACTGGGGGCTGGAACCAACAATAGTGTGTGTTTGACCATAGAGCTAATTAAGGCATCAGGGGGAAAAAAAAGCTGAGAAGCATGTATTTATAGTCCTCTGCAGGAGCTGAAGGGATAGTTTCACACTGCGGGCAATACATTTTCATGCTTTGGGACAGGTGAGAAAATCAGAAGAACTCTCCTACACGTTGTCTAAATACGCATTAGAACCAACTACCTTGTTTCACTTCACCAGCCTGATCTTCAGTGCTAACACAGCGCTATGCAGAATGGTCTGACTGCACCTGGGGTAGAATTGCCCCTACTTCTTTGTGCTTCTTTAAACCAATCACATCCATCTAAAGGTGATGCTAAGCCCAGGATGCAGCAGCGGTGTCCCCTTAAAATGGTGACTGGGGGAGTTTTGCATGCAAGGAGGTGACTACTAGCACAGCTGCCTGACTGCACGATCCAAACCTGCAAAAAACTTTGAGCGTGTAGGTTACTGCCCAAAGGTTCTTGTTGTTTCCCATAGTGATGGGGCTTTTGAAAATGGTAACAGGTCGATAGCGGGAGGGGAAAGGTGCGTATAATGCCAAAGGCAGCCTTATACCGGCAGACTACATCCGGTGAGTCAGGCTACCACCCAACTAATGCTGTTTTGTTCCTCCTGGTGCTGCCAAAGAAGCTCTGAACCGTCATGATATATGGACTTTATAAGACCTCTAAAGGTGTCCTGTGGTATCAGGCACCAAGACGTTTGAAGTACCATAAATTCAGGACTATTGAGTGAATATAAGCCGCACCCACTAACTTAAAAAAGAAAACAAGTTTTGTACATATACAGGCCGCACTGGTCTATAAGCTGCAGGTGTCCACATTGTAACATGAGATATTTACACAGAAAGATGTTACACAGGAAGATTTTTTTAACTTTTAATAAAATATGTACCGGTAACATACACAAATACGTACCGAAAATGCTTTTTTC